AAGGTGGCACGCGCGCGTTGCTGGAGTTCCTGCGGCTGCACCCTGACGTCCGTGCACTTGGCTCTGAACCCCACTTCTTCGACAGGTGCTACGACCGTGGGCTCGCCTGGTACCGGTGAGCGCCCCTGCTGGTCTGTGTGAGCCTTGGACTGTGCTTTCTGCTTAAGGGCATCGTGCTATCCTGGAACTCAGGACGAATAGGGTAGAATCCTGGGCATCGGGTCTGAAATAGGCCTGTCCCTTCCTGTGGGGAAATGGAGAAACAGACCTGACTTCATGGATGTAGTCCCCAAAGGAAAGGGAATTTATAGCCAAGGGTCCCAGGGATTAGAAAACCTCAGGGAAAATCCCGTTCTCCTGTTGGGTGGGCTGAGGGACTCAGCAAGGTGTGATCCTACCTGGAAAGTATTTTCAAGGCGGTTAGATAACTGGGTAGGTAGACTTTCCTTTTTAGAGGGTCGAGTACTGGGGACTGAACCTGGAGCCTCATATGTACTAAACAAGTATTCCACCACTAAGTTATTAATATATGCCTATATATTATTATGGAACATATTAATATAACCCCAGTGGACTATTTGGGAGCCTTAGAAATACTTGGAGCTCAGTCACCTTAGTGCTCCCCCTATTATAAGTCTGAGTAAGTATGGGTAATTATCTGACCACTAGTCAAATATATTAGGAAGGGTCTCCAGGTTTCCAGAAACTTTCTAGAAAGTGCCTTCCTGCCCCCAAGAACCTCTCCCCACCCTCCATCAGGTGAGCCCTTTTTGGCTGCTGGAATCTGGAGAAAGTCAGGTCTGGGCTTTGGAGAGGGAGACACTGTCCTTTAGTACAGCCCAAGGGTAGGGACTGGAATATTGGCATGCAGCCTTCTGCAGCTGCCCTCTCCACCCAGGATAGACCGGGTGTAGCAGTGGAATGTGGGGAGCACCACCCCAGCTGTAGCAGTACGTCCTGATCAGCCCTTCCCCGGCTGAGTCTGGTATTAGAGGCTGGACGCAGGCCCCATGCACTGCCTCCTGCAGCTTTGCAGGCGTTGAGGGTACCCTGTCCCTTCCTGGGGGGATATGGGGGTTTATAGACTTGCATCATGCTGAGCCAAGGTCACCTGGAGGATCAGTGGGGTGCCAGGGCCCTGGGCACACCAGCTTCTGTTTCTGGGGTCCTTCCTTACTCACATTTGCTAACTTGCCTTCTGCATTAAGACTGGTGGATTTGGGAGATGACAAGCTCCCAAGCTCTGAAGGGTCGTACTTCCTGAGGAGAGGCTCGTGGAAACACTGATGTTCCAAGCATGGGAGTAGGGAGTGTTCAGGATAGTATATCACATTTGGAGAGTCCATCTGGAAGTAGTGCATAGGATGCTGGGGAGGAGTGAAACCCATTGCCTCCATCCGGTTAATCAGGGTCATCCTCTGTGGCTTGCCACTTCAGATTTCTCAGAAGTGTGGCGTGAGTGCTGGGGACTGAACCCCACTGGGTAGCCTGGCTGAGCTTCTGGACTGTGTAGCCTAGTGCCTTCGCCTGGATATAGCCACAAGGGTTGCTGTGCTCTCTAGTAACCACTCCACAGGTAATATTCTCATGTATGCACTGAGCCTCTGAAAATTACCTCCTATGATTCAGTATCTCCAGTCATGGGACCTGGGCTGAGCCCCCAGAACCTGCAGAACTCTGTCCAAGTATGGGTTGAGGGAAAGGAGCAGCTGCTGAGGTTCTGGAATACTGCTCCTATTGGGCTGTGATCTGCCTCATCCAGGCAGTGGCCTGGTCATCCACGGCAGAGGGTTTCTGGGTTGCCTCTCTCCCAACCATTCTCCTCCCTGGTTCTCCTTACATCATTTCAGTGGCTTTGTTGTTGTTGCTTTTGGGGTCTCTTGTGGCTCAGGTTGGCCTCAAGTTCCCTCTGATGCCAAGGATTATGTTGAACTTCGGATTCTCTTGTCTATACCTCATGAGTGCAGGGGATTACTGGTATCTCTGTTATAGGCACCACTACTGTGTGTGTGTGTGTGTGTGTGTGTGTGTGTGTGTGAGAGAGAGAGAGAGAGAGAGAGAGAGAGAGAGAGAGAGAGAGAGAGAGAGAGAATGCTGATATGGTCATGTAGGTCAGAGGCTAACTCCCAGGAGTCTTCTCTCCTCCCACTTCCAAGGTAGGGATTGAATTTAGTCAATAGATTTGCACAGCAAGTGCTTTTACTTGCTGAGCCGTGTCACTAACCAACGGGAACTTACTTGGGTTTATTTTCGTTTTTATTTTTGAGACAGGATCCAATTTATGCAGTTCTGGCTGGCCTAGAACTTTCTGTGTAGACCAGGCCAGCCTCAAACTCAAAGAGATCCAGGCACATGCTCCCACACCCAGCCTCTGGCTGGCTTTTATGCAGGTGTAGGAGTGGAACTCAGGGCTTGTGCACATCAGGCGAATACTATGCCAGTTGAATCACACCCCCAGCTTATTAGGCTTTAAAGGGTCTTCCATCTTGGGGGCCATGGCCCCTGACCACTCTCAAAATCATACAGCATTTACTACCCCACTCATCATTACCTACTGAATAGTAATCTTAAGGTTTAGGGTGTCTGTCAGGCTATATTTTCTGAAAAGGCAAGAAAGGGTAAAGAGGGTACAGGTAGGGGAATCCCTGTGACTCCCGGGGTTTAAGATCAGGCCTTGGGTGTGTGTCTGGGTATGCAGGGGGAGGGGCTGAGCTGTCTTCCCTCCTGTGGCTGGGGACTTGGTTCCCTAGCACTGTCTGACACTGGGATAAGATCCCTAACCAGTTTCCCCTGGGCTCCTTGGATCTGGCCCAAATGAAGTGTGGGATACAGTGGTGGTGCTGGAGGGGCTGGGCAAGCAGGGGGCGTGGTCTCAGGCTGGCTGGGAGCCACCTAGAAACGCAGACCAGATGGGGTGGGTGCATCAGGAGGGAAGGTTTATGGAGCAACTTGACAGAGCTCTGCTCTGCTTGTTCTCACCTTCCGAACACACTCATCTCTCCTCTCCCTGCTCACTGGGCTAGGCTTCCGAAACTCATGGAGGATAATCGATGCCAAAGGTGTCAGGTTGCAGAAGGGCTTGGGGCGGGTTCTCAGACCTTGAAGTTGTACCCTAAAGTCTCTGAACTTTCCCTGGCAGTATGTTGATCCTGACTATTCAAGGTGGAGTATTGGGGGCAGGGGCTCTGGGAACAGAAGCCCCATGAGATCCCTCTTTTCAGGTGGGCCAGGAGGAGGTCTGAGGCCTATCATTTTTCCCTCACTCCTTCCTATTCCTTCTCAGCCTTAAGATGCCTGCCTGTCAAATGGGGGGGGGGTTGGGGGTTACTGTGTGTCATCCCCATGGAGGAAGGAGACACATACCCTTATAACTTCTACAAACCAGCTTTGCCTGGATCCTTGTTCTTCAGGGTTTCCCACATGTCACTCACCTCACTCTGCTTTGGTCATGGGTGATATCAGGAGCCTGGCACTGCTTGGGGTCTCTCTCCTCTCTCTCTCTCTCTCTCTCTCTCTCTCTCTCTCTTCTCCCCCCTCTGTCTGTCTCTAACAAGATCTTGTATAGTTTAGCCTGTTTTCAAATTCTCCATCATAGCCACCTCAGTCCCCGGAGTCCTGCGATTATAGACGTGTACCACCATATCTGGGCCTGATCTCACTCTTGCCTGATCTAACCCTGAAGATGCACATACCCCCTACCCATTATCAGCACCCCCAAACTAAGCACCCCAGCATGGAAACCTGTGCATTTTTGTCTATATTTTCTTGGGGACATGAACAGAGAAGAGAATGAAGATCTGTGGGTCAGTAAAACTGGGCTTAATCCAGTGTGTCAGCTGGCCAGAGTGCGTCCTGGGGGCTGTCAGTAAGGTGTGGATAGTATCCCTAAGAGATGGGGTCACGGCTGGACCCGTGTCTCTCTCTAAGTCCCACTGCCTCTGCCTCTGTTGACCTAGTTCCTGGCTTTTCTTTGGAGCTGTTTGCTCAGCTTACCTGCCGCACCCTGTCCTACCTCACTGTGTACTAACTGGCTGGTAGGCGCAGCCTGAGGACACTTCTTAGGGTGCCTGAGCCTGCCTGGGCTCTGTGTGGGCTCCCCTCACCTGGGCTTGGCTGTAGTCAGCTGACTTTCTCTGAACATTTGGATTAGGCCAACACTCTCCTCCAGAATGAAGGAAATTTCAGAAATGCTGGCACTTGGTACCCTAGGGCCACTATAGGACTTTGGGAGAGGCCCCGGGTAAATCAGAGCCATATCACTAACTTTCTTAAGGGTGCTGGGCTCTGCTGGTGACTGTTTTGTGTTCTTAGCTGGGCTCAGAGAGACAATTGAAGGTCAAGAGGGGATGTAATTAAATTTAGGGGAGGGAGGGAGAGGCCAGTTCCATTTGTCAGTAATAATTGATGACCTAATTCATGGTCAGTGATTACAATAAAGAGGCCTGCAGGGTTTGTGCTGACCCCTGTGCCTCAGGGGTGCCTGGTCAAGGTTGGGTACAGCCGCTTTGGAAGGGGTGGGTCTCTGGTGTGAGGCTTGCTAGGATGTGGAGGTGGCACTTCAGGGAGAAGGGTCATAAACCTTGAAGAATGTCTTGGTGGCCATTGTCCTCTGAGGCTGTCACTTTGTTTATTCTAGAGCTGCACTGACTAGGGCAACCCTGGCTTTGGGCTCTACTGAAGTCCCACACAGGGCTGGGCACCCCAGCACTTTAGGAGGGTGAACCTAAGAGGGGAGAAGGATAGCCTACCTTGGCCTGGGTCTTCCTCAGAGGAGGAGAGGTTGGTTCCTGGTCCCCAATGGCTGAGCTAGCTGGGAAGGGAAATGGCTTTGGAAGAAATGTATGTTGGGGGCTGGAGAGATGGCTCAGTGGTTGAGAGCACTGCACCAGCTGCTCTTTCAGAGGACCCGGGGTTCAATTCCCAGCACCCACATGGCAGCTCACAACTGCCTGGCACCCTTGCACAGACATACAGGCAGGCAAAAATGTCAATGCACATAAAAATAAATACATTTTAAAAACAAACCTTTAAAAAAAGAGAGAAATGTATGTTGTGGATTACTCAATTACTTTTCCTGCCATTCCACAGGGGTCTGATGCCACGTACCCTGGATGGGCAGATCACCATGGAGAAGACCCCCAGCTACTTTGTGACTCAGGAGGCTCCCCGCCGAATCCATAACATGTCCCCAGACACCAAGCTGATTGTGGTGGTGCGGAACCCTGTGACCCGGGCCATCTCTGATTATGCCCAGACACTCTCCAAGACCCCAGGCCTGCCTAGCTTCCGTGCCCTGGCCTTCCGCCATGGTCTGGGTCCTGTGGACACAGCCTGGAGTGCTGTGCGTATTGGCCTCTATGCCCAGCACTTGGACAATTGGCTACGGTACTTCCCTTTGTCCCACTTCCTGTTTGTCAGCGGAGAGCGCCTGGTCGCTGATCCAGCCGGTGAAGTGGGCAGGGTACAGGACTTCTTGGGCCTCAAACGGGTTGTCACTGACAAGCACTTCTACTTCAATGCTACCAAGGGCTTCCCCTGCCTCAAAAAGGCCCAGGGCAGTGGCCGCCCCCGCTGCCTGGGTAAATCCAAGGGCCGGCCTCACCCCCGAGTGCCGGAAGCTGTGGTTCAGCGCCTTCAGGCTTTCTACCGGCCCTTCAACCGAAAGTTCTACCAGATGACTGGCCAGGACTTTGGCTGGGACTGATCAAGGCCCAGCTCAGCTTATCCCTGGATACCTAGTAGCTTTAATTTATGTCTGTCTGCCTGGCCAAGGCAGGCACTACACATGCTGTGTAGAGAGAGTATTTAATAAATAAACCAAACCCTGGAACTGTTTTCTTCCATTTGGGCCCTACCTCTGTCAGATTGTATGGTGACATGCCCTGGGAGGTAGTCAGTGTCCTTGTTCACATGTCACAGAGGAACACGTGAGGCTAAGAGAGGACGAGCACCTGCCCAATGACACAGGTGGTTCTGGAGGCTGTCCACAGCTACTCTTCAGCCCTAGGAGGCAGAGCAGGGTTGTCCCTTTTCTAGGATGAGTATAGGTTCCAGGCTCCTGCATGGTGGAGCAACACAAAGCTGGTTTGGCCAACTGTGTGCATTGTATCCACCGCCTGGTTTATCCTTAGTCTCTTGTGGGAGCCTGATGGAATGGCTGGGTAGTGAGCAGCCAGTGAGCAGGTACTTTTGTTTGTTTGTTTTTTGTTTTTTTTGAGACAGGGTTTCTCTGTCTAAAAGTCTTGGCTCTCCTGGAACTTGATCTGTAGACTGTGGCCTTTAACTCACTGAGATCCACCTGCCTCTGCCTCCCAAGTGCTGGGATTAAAGGTGTGCACCACTCAGTGAGCAGGTACTTTCAACAGCCACCATGTGGTTCCAGTAGAGCTCTATCAATACCTGGCTCTGCCCACTCCGACAATGTTATGCCTACTCTCTAGATCTCCTGCCTCTATTCTGTACACCCCCAGCAGGGCAGAGCAGGAGACAGTACTTATCAGCAGCTATTGCCTGTTCCTAGGCAAAAGAGGCTTGCCCCTGCTCCAGATGCCCTCCAGCTGTCCTGAGAATGACCTCTGAGGCTACTTAAGGCGTGTCATACCTGTACTGTCCCAGGCCTGCTTAAGGGCCCGGCTGTGGCCTTTGTATCCAAGACTCCTTAGGTCTCATGGCCTGTCCTTAGCTGTGATGTGGCTTTCCCCACTCTGAGATGTTTAGGGCTACTCTTTGTCCCTTGAGTAAGAGAATATTTTCTGGGAATGAGGATAGTCTGTCAGCACCCACCTCTCATGGGTGTCAAGGTTTACTTCCAGCCAAAGGCCCTACAGGGCACCATAGCTACTATTTGGTCACACGACCCCATCAGCAGCCTAGACATGGAGTTTTTGCCAAGAGGCTCAGGGAGAGGAAGCAGAAGGACCCAAGCAGGCTGCAGGGCCCTGCCTTTGCTTGATGCTTCTGAGCTCACACTCCTGTCTGGGGCTGTCCTCAGGGGCTGGTGCTTTCTCCAGGCCATGTTGCCCTGGGCCAGGCTAGTGGGGTTGGGAGCTGGTACTGGGCTTTCCTTCCAGCACCCACAGAGCAACTACCATGGCAATATGCTGGGCAGATATTGGTCTAAATGCAGATGAGAGGAGTGCACAGTCTCCTCCAGATTCAGGCTGATGTGGGTGATGGGAGACATATTCCACACCTGGCTCTGGTAGATGGTACCCAATGAAATTGGTGACTGTCTGTATTCCCTGGGCCAGGGATGGAGGGCAGGAAAACCCTCAGCTCCTGTGTCAGTTGCAAGTCCATTTCTCCCTGGAAAGTCCGAGGGTCCTCACTATCACCCTGAGTCATTATTCTCTATTGGAATAGTGTCTTCAGCAGATTCCATTATTTTAAACTGTTCTCATTCCCAGACCCACCCCTATTGCTTCTAGGATTCCAGGATGAAGACTAGATAGATGCTCAACTGCAGCTGTTAAACTCCCTCCCACCCTATCCCACCTTTGTTTGTTTGTTTGTTTGTTTGTTTGTTTTTGAGACATGGTCTCTCTGTGTAGCCCTGGCTGTCTTGTAATTCACTCTGTAAACCAGGCTGCCCTTGAACTCACAGAGATCAGCTTGCCTCTGCCTCCCAAGTGCTAGGGTTAAAGTCCTGAACCACCACTGTTAAAACCCTTTAAAGTTTACCCCTCCTGTTTTGCCTGCTCCCCTCAGCTCTAAGTTCCTGTTACCTATTCCCTGCCAGCTCCATCTCTGTTATGCTTCTTCACAAGCTTTGAATGTACTGTTTTCCTTCTCTGTAGATGAATCAGATGAAGCAGGAGGGCATGAGAGGCAGGGACATCCTTGAGCTGGGCAGCTGTGCCTCCACTCTGGTTTTCCTGCTTCACTCCCCGTGTTTAGAGCTTTTTGTCTAAGACCACTGAGGTGCGATCTTGTCCCTCCATGGAGGTTTATTGGGTGCAGTGCTGTGAGGGCACTGGCTTACCTGGGCCTAGGCTCTAAGGGCAGTTTCTAGATGCAGCAAGGGGAAAGCTGGACTGGTGTGTTCTGCTCATACCCGCCCAATGGAAACTTAGCCTGAGGGCCAACACCCAGTTCGAGGTGCCCAGCTGGGCCTCAGAACACATTGTGGGCAGATGTGGTGGGTCTTCCAGGCTGTGTGGAGGTGGAGCTCCTCGGGGGGAGTCATCAGCCTTTAATTAAAGTCCTTAAATTGCTTCCCCAGCTGCTCTGTGGGTTTTCCGTGTTGGAATGTTCCAGATGGAGTGAGAAGTGCTGATTCAATTACCTTCTTCCTGTCTTGACCAGTGGAGAAGTGGCCTGCCATCCTTTCCCAGCTCTCAGCTAGACAGGGATGGAGTAGAAGGGGACAGGGCTCCTTACTGCCCTGGGTCTAAGAAGGGGCTTGGAGATGTCTTGGGACAAGGCTGCTTTTATCTGTAGGATCATCTTGCTCCAACTTGGCCTAGGCAGGGTTTGCTAGGCAAGAACAGTGGTCTTGCTCCTGGCATTGTGGTGTTGTATAAAGCGGGTACTGAGATCCTGAACAGACTCTGGCCCCAGTGTCCAAGGTCAAGGTGAGGGCAGAGGGGAAGACAGCACTTGGACCTACCTATCTCTGTGGCCTGGATATATTATTCATACATGAAGACTTATCCTAGGATACCTAGGATACAAAGTGCTGGCACCTTGCCCACCCTCTCATTTGTTAGTCTCTTGAAAAAGTCATTACAATCTCACCCATTCCAGAGGTCTTCCAGACCTTGGCAATAAGGTCAAGACAGGATCTGGTAGTTCTCTGAGCACTGCAAGGCTGTACTTGCTGACCCCCCCTCCTGTCAGTGAGGTGAGCCTGAGGTCTCTAGTTGTGGGTGGTCTCTCTTTGAAGGGCTGGGCCAACCTCTGTGGTCAGGACATGGTCAGAGGATCAGTGGGAGGCAGCCCCTGCTGGCTTCCTCTCAAGGGTGTGTTGGGCAGGGCAGGGCAGGGCTAGAAGAAGGAAGGAGGGGCTGGATTCCATGCCCTCCAATCACTCAGGGAACACCTATGAGTCCCTGCATCCCAGGATGAGGGCTGCTTTGGGGACAGGTCTTATACTACTAGTCCTCACTACTGATCTCCTAGTGACCTATGATGGACAAGTATGGGTCTAGAGGTCATCCTTAGGGGACCTGAGGGCCATCACCCTCCCCACCTGTCCAGGATCCCTATGCCTGAGTCAGCCTGCCCTGGGTGTTTGCTTCTGTTAGGGAGCTGCCGGACTGGTTTCCAAGTACAGCACTTCAGTGCAATTGAAGATAGAGCAAGGCCAGTGTGAGGCCTCTGGTACTTTAGTTTGCAGCTGCCATGGAAGTTTCCAGTGCAATTCCTGAAGCTGTGTGGGGAGGGACTGGGGCTATGCTGCCATCTGAATGTTACGGACTCTTTATCCACCAGGAAAAGACCACAGACACTTACCCAAATTATACTTAAATGAGTTTATTATTAATTACTGCAAGTAGGACAACAGCCTTAAAGCCAAACTGAAGATGGCCATGCAGAAGGAGCCTGAGGAAGGGCTTTTTTAAAGGTGGAGATGGCAATTATCATTTTTCTGGAATATACAGCTGAGTGAGAAACTACTTCACTCCCCTCAGCTACTGAGGCGCTGTCCCTCTCACTCCCTGTTACACACTGATAAGCAGGTTTACAAAAGCCAGAGCAAGCACTTTTACAATTCTGGGGAAGGGGTAAGGAGTCCGGGCTGCCATGAGCTTATCTTTTAGGAATTTATAATGGGTGCCTAGCACAAATTGGAGTTTTCCTTAGCAATCACAATGAACCTGCAGGACTCCCATTTCTAAAAGTTCCTCACAGATTGGATGACACCAAGTGGGGGCTTCAGGGTGAGATAAAAGGACAGTACAGTCCTGGTGCAGCTTTGGGCAATGTGATGATTGGTTTTGTTTTTTGTTTGTTTCAAGACAGTGTTTCTCTGTGTAACTGCTCTAACTGTCCTAGAACTCACTTTGTACACCAGGCTGGCCTTGAACTAAGAGATTCACCTGCCTCTGCCTCCTGAGTGCTGGGATTAAAGGTGTGCACCACCCCACCAGGCAAGATGGTTGGTTTTAACATCCATTTGCCATAGATTAGAGTCACCTGATTAGGGAGCTCCACCTGGAGAATTGTTCTGACCACCTTAGTTTAGTGATTCTTGTGAGGCCTGTGGGTCTCGATTCTGACGATCCTTTCACAGGGGTCACCTAAGACCGTGGAAAAACACAGATATTACATTATGATTCATAACAGTAGCAAAATTATAGTTATGAAGTAGCAAAAAAAATAATTGTATGGTTGGGGGATCACCACGATATTAGAGTCCCAGCTTTAGGAAGGTTGGGAACCACTGCCTTAGTTGATTTGAGAAGACCCACCCTGAATGTGGGCACATTTTCTGATAGCAGTTCAGAATTTTTGTTTGTTTTGTTTTATGAGGCAGGGTTTCTACATAACTCTCGCTGTCCTGGAACTCACTATGTAGACCAGACTGGCCTCAAACTCACAGAGATCCGCCTGCCTAGTGCTGGGATCAAAGGCGCGCACCACCACTCCTGGCACAGCTCAGAGGTTTAGAAGGGTGTGGTAGGAGGAAGAATATTTCACCTTTTTCTCACTTTGCTTTTTGCTTGCTTTAAGCAGAAAGGTCAGTCCAGCCCTTGTCATTCCATCTTGGCCAAAAGTGGAAGAGGAGAGAGCTTCAGGTGTGTGAGAGACAAATGACAATGCATGGTGTGAGTGTGTGTGTGTGTGTGTGTGTGTGTGTGTGTGTGTGTGTGTGGTTTGTG